AAAATTGATGCCTGGGACCTTCTAAAGATTAAATCCATGTGTGCATCAAAACCTTTTTCCAACAGGTGAAAAAAACACCTACAGCCTGGGAACAAACATTTGGTAATACCATCTCAGACAAGAATCTTACAACAACAAAAGTTTTCAGAATACTCCTGGGCCTCCACAAGAAAAAGACTGATAATTACAAAATGGGCAAAAGATACGGAAAGAATTTTCACAGAGGAAGATATTTGAATGGCAAACAGACACATGAAGAAATGCTCCAAATCACTGACAGTAAGAGAGATGCAAATAAAAAACCACAATGAGGTACCATCTCATTCTAGTATCAGTGGCAAAGTTTTTTAACAGGGCAGCAAGTAATAAATGTTGGAGAGGATGTGGTGAGAAAGGAGCTCTTATACATTCTTGGTGGGATTTTAAAACGATGCAACCATTCTGGAAGGCAGTTTGACGTGTCCTCGTAGAGCTAAACATAGAAATTCCATATGACTCAGCTATTCCACTACTTGGAATATAATATACCCTGAGAAAATGATAACTGAGGCACAAACTGAGATTTGTACAACAGAGTTCATAGCAGCGTTATTCACCATCACAAGAGCATGAAAACAGCCCAAACGGCCACTGAGACATTATGGTACATTCACACAATGAAATACTATCTAACGCTGTATAATATTTCATTGTGTGAATGCACCATGTTTTCTCTATCCTCTTGTTGATGGGCACTTGAGATGCTGCCATCCCTTTCGCTGTTGCATTTAATATTTTGGAAGAGGACAGGTGTAAATGATTGAAAAGGGTGGTGGAGGAGAGACTAAAGGAAGGTTTACACACAATCTGAAAGGTTGACTGGGATAAAAGGGAAGGGAGAGTGAGCATAGATCAGCGAATGGCTGGATAAGATGAAGGGAAACAGAGGATGCAAATAGGTTTTGATTAGGTGTAAATAATGACAGTATATTGTGATACTACATCTTTTTTTTATACAACATTTTGTATAAAACAAAGTACATGTGAACGATTGAAAGCACATCATTTTTGGGTAGTGAGTGAATCATCCAGTTTCTGCATTGTGTATAAAATAGACCAGTTACAGGGCTAGCCAATAATCATCACAATCAAGATGTTTAAAGTTTACCCAGGAAAAGTCAATTAACCTGAACAAAAAGAAACAGAATTCTTTGGGGTAAGAAACAATGTAGTTGTAGTCAGGCGCCATAGAGTCAGCTATTACTCATAATGACCCTAGAACAGTAGATCTGTGCTCTACCCTATCCTATACCATCTGTCTGTATCATCTCTCATAAACTTGAGCCTATTGTTACAGTCAGTTTGTCATTAATCCATCTCATTGAAGGTATTCCTCTATTTCACTGACCCTCCGTCCACCTGTTTAAGCATTTCTGGCACATTGGTGCCAGAAATATGAGATGAAACCTCACCAATCTTGTCTCCCTGAGACAGTTTCCCTGAGAAATATTTGTTTGCTCTTTTGCCAGTCTGTGGGATGTTCAGTATTATTCTCCACCACTAAAGCTCAAAGGCAGTTCTTCTTCTTTGTCCTTCTTCATTGTCGAGCTCTA